GTGAGGATCACTTGGCTATGCAAGGCACGAAGGCGCCCCTAGGGCCCTCTCAAGGTCGGACTGTTCTCTTCTCCTATTGGCTGTACTTTGGTGGGTATGCATTTTAGTCCACCAATCACATTTAAGGAAGTAATTGATTGACGTATGCAATATGTACGACACCACGACTAAGTATGCTAAAGGACCCCTGGAAGTGCCGCCACTGGAGTGTCTCAGGGGTCTTCGTTTCCTTTGGGAGGGTTCCTGGAGCTCGCGAAGCCCTTGAGATGGTACCAGGGCCCCAGTCGCCCTTTGGGAGGTTTCATGGGGACTCCGCCGCTCCTGGGAATGTTCAAGGGGCCCTAGGTGTCCCTGGGAGGCTCCCCGGGGCTTCTTCCACATTTGGGACGGTCCCAGGGGCCCCCGCCGCCTCCTGGAGGGGTCTCAGTAGAACCCACCCGCCACTGGGAGGGTCCTTGGGGTCCCCGCTGCCCCTGCAAGGGTCACGGGGGCTTCCGCCGCTCCCGGGAGGATCCCAGGGGCCCCCGTCGCCTCTGGGAGGGTGCCTAGGGCCCTCGACGCCCCTGAGAGGATGCTCACCGCACCTGGGTGGGTCCCAGGAGCCCTGGCCGCCCCTGCAAGGGTCACTGGGATCCCCAGAAGCCCCTTGGAAGGTCGGAGGGGCCCCACCAACCCGGGGAGGGTCTCAGGAGCCTTCGCAGCACCTGGAAAGTCTCAGGGGCCCCCGTCGCCACTATGAGCGTCCCAGGGGCCCCTGCTGCTTCTGGGAGTGTCCCAGCGGCCCCCGTAACCCCTGTGAATGTCCCTGTCGCACCAGGGAGGGTCCCTGGGGCAATTGTTTTTGTGCTATCTAGAGCTCTTGTAAATGCGACTACAACGCCCATCATAAACATTTCCAGTATTATCGCTCCCTTAAAAATGGAATGGAGAATAATATCCAGCAGGAAACATAAGTTGGGGTGTTGTGCTGACTGACTGTTCTCTTCTTTTATTGGCTGTAATTTAGTGGGTATACATTTCAGTTCACCAATCAGGGTCCAAGGAGCCCCAGTCAACCCTGGGATATCCCATGGGCATCCCGCTGCCCCTGGGCCCTCTGCCGTCCCTGGGAGGGTCCTAGAGGAAGCCGCTTACCCTGGGAGGTTCCCTGATGGCACCGCCAACCCTGTAAAACTACCAGGGGCCTCCATCCGCCCCTGGAAGTGTCCCAGAGGTCCTAGCCACTCCTGGGAAGGTCCCAGGGGCCCCCACCGCCCTCTGGAGGGCTCGCGCTGCACCTGGAAGTGTCCCAAGGGCCTCCATGTACCCCTGGACTCCCCGCCACCCTTGGGAGTGTGCCAGGGGCCCCCACCGCTCCCTGAAGGGTTCCCGACACTCCTGGGAGTGTCCCAAGGGCCAATGCCGCACATGGGAAGGTCCCAGGGGCTCCCACCTGTAACTGTAACGGTCTCAGGGGCCCCTGCTGCCTCTTGGAGGGTCTCAGGGCCCCTGCTGCCTCTTGGAGGGTCTCAGGGGCCCCTGCTGCCTCTTGGAGGGTCCTAGCGGCCCCAACCACCCCTGGAAGGATTATTCTTTTTGGTGGCATATATGTGTCTACTTAAATACCTCCTCTGGTTTAAAAAAAATTCATGGATGCTCATTAATATGAAAATTTGGGTCATCCTGGAGTGTTGGATATGATGAGCGTGGTGAGAAGCCTATTTACGTGTCATAGTGTAAGGGCGGCTATTCCTACTCACACTGCGCATCCTTATCTTACTTACTTATGTTCACTGGTTACCACATAACCTCAGTTCCTTTTTGGTAGCATGGACGAGAGCCGGCACGTGAGTATAGTAATTCTGATATCAAGTCACTTGGACGGAAATAAAGGTGAAAACTGTGGGGGAAAATGAACACTCCTAAAACACTCAAAAAACAGGTTTATTAATATGACATACAAAGGGAAAAATATATTATTAACATACCACTCCAAGGTGCAACTCCTCGGCCTACTCCACTGCACTTACTCAGATCCTGTACTCTTACTACACATAACCTCACTGGTGTTACATTACAGTACATAGTTACATGACAACTCCTGGCTTCTCTCAATTGCCAATCCCAGTGGGTACTTACTTCACCCACGTTACTGGTGATACATTTCATTACATACATGACAAACTTACAGATGATACTTCACTCACTGAAACCAACTCATACATGGGTCCACTACCCAACATGGGATAATTATTTCCAATTAATTTTCTCCAAACATATACATCAAACACTGTGGGCCATAGATGCCAGGAATGCGTCCCAGGGTAGGACACTGGGGCTCACGACCGTTGCTGTGATCGGTATCACCACAGAGTCCTCAACCCATCAAAGCAATTGCTGAAATTATACATGTATTAGATCTCAAATAAACATAAAACAAACTTACTGACCATGCCTGTAGGTCTAGACTGCTAGAACTAATGCCCTTGGCATTAAAATCATAAACTAGTAGAAACAACACAAAATACAATATACTCGTACATATAACACAACTTGCGTTAGACAAATAAATTCACTTGTCAAAACTGATGTCAACTGAGAACTAAAACACTTCCAATTGAAATCAAAGCAAATACATCCAAAATATGTCACAATTACAAATAACACTCAGTTACATAACCTTAGTACACTTATGGCCTTCTGGTGACACTCAGAAACAAACACTGCCACGACACTCTTAACACGGCAGATGTTCACTGCTCGCTCATTGTCTGTAAATATCAAAGTATTAACTCGAGTGATCACAACAATTGCTATTGGTACCACTGCAGAAAGGCACCCAAAAAAAAATTACCTTGGCATACAACAACACTTTCCTGAGATTTCACAAAAAGAATGCAAAAAAAAAAATAATTAGGTAGCTAACCTCTGTTTCTCAGACACTTTTCAACACTCTGAACATTACAAGTTTCCACACTTTATTGTACACTTTACTTTAAAACAGATTTCTAATTTCTTTGAGGCAATTGTTCTAACCTAACCTCAAGTAAAGTATTTGTCGTGAACCATTTTCAACTTCTCCGTAAAACCACAGAAAAGAAAAAATTTGCACAGAATTACATACTCTACTGTACACTGGGAAAATTATGAAACAAAATTATTAGCAATCTGAAATATTCATTAGTTACAGTGAAATGATTAGGTACCTGTACAGAGAAATGGTTATTACAAATCACACTTTAAAAAATAAATACCCACAGTATCACATTTATTCCTCCTGACCTGATATCATGTAAATTACATCCCACAGCTGCGAACCAATGTAAGGGCGGCGATTCCTACTCACACTGCCCACCCCTTATCTTACTTTCTTACGTTCACTGGTTACCACATAACCTCAGTTCCTATTTTGGTAGCATGGCGAGGGCCGGCACGTGGGTATAGTAATTCTGATATCAAGTCACTTGGACGGAAATAAAGGTGAAAACTGTGGGGGAAAAATGAACACTCCTAAAATGCTCAAAGAACAGGTTTATTAATATGAAATACAAAGGGAAAAATATATTATTAACATACCACTCCAAGGTGCAACTCCTCGGCCTACTCCACTGCACTTACTCAGATCCTGTACTCTTACTACACATAACCTTACTGGTGTTACATTACAGTACATAGTTACATGACAACTCCTGGCTTCTCTCAATTGCCAATCCCAGTGGGTACTTACTTCACCCACGTTACTGGTGATACATTTCATTTCATACATGACAAACTTACAGATGATACTTCACTCACTGAAACCAACTCATACATGGGTCCACTACCCAACATGGGATAATTATTTCCAATTAATTTTCTCCAAACATACATCAAACAGGAATGCGTCCCAGGGTAGGACACTGGGGCTCACGACCGTTGCTGTGATCGGTGGAAGCCAGACACATGGCGAGTCTGGGGTCTAGCTCCACGAGGTAGAGTGAGCAGATTAATCATGCCGAATCAGCGCCATCGCTCATATATTGATCACTGCTGACTATCCATCGGCTCCGAGCGACCGGTGGGTGTTCAATTAAGCCTTCCCCTGTACCTGTAGACAAGTTGGAGAGGACGCGTCACAGAGGACGACTCTCTACTCGGCAGTGGTTCATATACCCCTGAGTTGCCAGCGATCGCTACTCACGCAATGACAGAAATTAATAACCAACCAACTGTCACTCATTCAAGGATGACCCTCAGTTGACAAATGTCTGGCGAATTACTTGAATTGATTTACACAGACTAATTCAAGATTGAGCTTGCCAGGAAAAAGTGGAAATAAAACGCATTGACAACTGTGTTCGAAAGTGGGACTTACTGGGAGGGATCATGAAGTATAAGAGTAGATGGGGAAAACACGTCTTCTTCTAGGGATAGCTAACCAGCTCCATTCATGTTTTGCGTTCGTGGAGTATAATAAGAATCATTAGTGTTAAAACAGACTAACAGTCAGCGTGACCATGACAAAGCTCCCCCTTTCCCCAAGATTCTTATTATGCGGTAACATTTGCTAAACATGTACAGTAGTCACACACTCTTTAAATAACTGTTACCTTTCAGCATGGTGTCACACTACATACACTCATAACAATGCATCTCAGGATGATTACAGGCATCTGGCACAAAAAAGCATACAAAACAAGAACACAATGGTTACATACCTGGGATTAACGATAGTAAAAAAAAATCTATCATCCCTGACACATCAAATAGGAAACAAATACAGGTAAATATACATACATAAGAATAATGTAATGACATAGAAAAAGCATAAAAATGGGGTTACATACATAACATAAAAAAAAATTGTTACACAATACACACTCTGGAGATACAGCTTCTCATATCAAAAAAGGTTTCACTTAGAGGAGATTGATCAAATACTTACTCGACACTGAGATTTAACTTAGACTTCTCAAGCTAGGACGTAGATAAACGGACCCAATCCAGTCAAAGGAAAGATTTGTTTGACTTTATTCCAAAAAGCCATGTCAAACTCGCGAGTCGTAGCAAACTTCAAGGGATCCCGAACGAGCGGTGATAATCCCAGAATACGATGCAAAATGAAACGGTCCTTATGGGAGCACAACCAAACCAAAACATGTCTTTACTTATGGCATTTGCCATTTAGGAGAAATCAGCGCCATGCTTAACATGCCCGACCCCACCGAAAAGTCACGAACACTACTCCTATACACAACCACAAGCCTGGCCAGGACTTGACACACAAAACTTGAGAATTCACAACTGGTATCTTTACTCAACTGGTAACAGATACCCATCAGATGGTTGCATAACTGCCAATCCATCTTCCAATCTCTGTCTACTGCAACTTGACAATCCCTCTCCAAAAAAAATCTCACAAACACCTACATACTCACAAACATTCCCCTTGTACCACATTCCACACTCATATGGGCAAACAACATACTAACTTCCCACAGCTTACTGATGCAAGGCAACAACACATTCTCTAACTTACCAGTTCTACTTCTCAATTGCAACACAAATATGCAAAACATCACTCTTCACCATGCACATCAACAACCAATGCATTCCAGTCAAAGGTCTACAACCCATTAAAGAAATCTCGGCAACACTGATGCCAGTCTCTCACATAACTAGCAAGAGAGGCACTCCTCACTCTTCCCTTCTACACCTCCCTGTCCATCAGGCCATCCTCCTGATGAAGCAACTGGTGGTGAGACCTGGGTGTCATTCCTGTGAATGAACACGTCTCTACCCACATACTTCTCAACTCTACACATCAACTTACTGGACACAGGTTCTGAGCTGACTGCCCTGAACTGCTCTCTTGTGACACCCATCATGCCTGGAGGTCACAACAACTCACTGTAACTACACAACAGGGGCACCTTGCACACCTTCAAAAACAAACGGATTACTGCCTAACTGTCCTTCTAATACTCAAAAAACACTTGAAATACTGTTCAAAATTATTGCACAAATACTACTCAACTTATTACTCACTCCCCTAGTGATAATACTGGAATGTGAACTTTACTTTACTGCTTCACTGATGAATACATGAGGAAAACATCACTGTACTCTTTGTCACTTTCCAAGACAAACTTACTGTGCACACTCAAAGGCAATTGTACTTGTTATTGTCAATCTCTGTAGGGTGCAACACTGTAGGAACTCTTACCGAATTACACTGTACAGTACACTAGAAAATCAAACAACTTAAAAAAGAAAACCAAAAACATATCCATTACTGAGTCTTGCTCAAAAAAAAAAAAATAAAGTGGTAATACTTTAGGAGACTGTCCCCTCGGTACTCAATAAGTATTCGCTGTCTTTCCAATTGCAAAGATTTTAACACTGTTATCACATCACAATGTACTCTGTTGTACTCACAAATGGGGGTCCTTACATGTATTTTCAACAATCAATTACAAAGATTGCGTTCTTTCACAGATGTCCATATCACCACAGAGTCCTCAACCCATCAAAGCAATTGCTGAAATTATACATGTATTAGATCTCAAATAAACATAAAACACACTTACTGACCATGCCTGTAGGTCTAGACTGCTAGAACTAATGCCCTTGGCATTAAAATCATAAACTAGTAGAAACAACACAAAATACAATATACTCGTACATATAACACAACTCGCGTTATACAAATAAATTAACTTGTCAAAACTGATGTCAACTGAGAACTAAAACACTTCCAATTGAAATCAAAGCAAATACATCCAAAATATGTCACAATTACAAACAACACTCAGTTACATAACCTTAGTACAGTACACTTATGGCCTTCTGGTGACACTCAGAAACAAACACTGCCACGACACTCTTAACACGGTAGATGTTCACTGCTCGCTCATTGTCTGTAAATATCAAAGTATTAACTCGAGTGATCACAACAATTGCTATTGGTACCACTGCAGAAAGGCACCCAAAAAAAAAATTACACTGTACTTGACCATAAGATGAGTTCTATGTTAGTGTGTCTAGTGATTTAATAAATAGTTACTTAAGCTAACCCAACCTATCTTAAGTATTTTGCCCTTAGCTTTACACTGTCCCCCGACTCATAATAGTAATGGCATTTAATTGGGCTTCACACGAGCTTACACCCCATCAAAAATAATAATACAAATGAAGCAGTGAACAAAAAATAATTAAAAAACAAATAAAGTGCAAAATTTAACAGTGAACAACCAAAAATAATAAAAACAAATAAAGTACAAAATAAAACTGAATATGGAGGAAGCAGTTCAATGTTATATAGACCACAATATCACAACGTACAGTATTTATCAAGTATATTCAAGTGAGCTGCAGTACTGAAAAGGCTTTCAATACCTGTGTTTTTATATTTTTGTTGTTTATTTATTTATTATTGTAACACAAACAAATTATGTTTTATCAGAATTAACATTGATCCTGACATCTTTTCTTAATTGTAATTGCTTAAAGTTATTTCAACGGCAGAGAGCACGCGGTAGGATAGCCCCTTTTAGATACGTGAATTTAAGAATACCAGAAAATCGAAACTATTTTTTCGAAGGGCTTGGAGACATACAAAAGGATGGAGCCTCATTGCATCGCTTGAGTTAGTCTTATTAGAAGAAGAGAAATCTTACACTATTAAGCTCATGCAGTTCGTGAATTAGAATGTGGTAAATAAAAACAATAATTGATCATATACTGTAAGTGTTTGTTAAATGTTATTGCTCTGTGCTTATGAGATGTTGATGTTTTGAAATTTTTGGGTAATTGATATTAATAAAGAATAGTTTAGAAGGCAGAGTAAATAAGCGTTCTTGTGTGGGGGGGGGGGGTTGAAAATATTACAAGAGTTACCCCCATCTGCTACTTCTTCTATTATACCTGAGTGGCTGACATCAAAGAGAACGTTGTCGCCTCGGAACTCATACTTAATTACATTATCCGAGACTTAGTAATTTTGGTTTATTTATTTTTTATTTTTTTATCTTTTAATTAATTCTGAATTTGGCTGTCACGTCTTTAAATTTATCCTCACACTCACCCCAGCTACGGCAACATCTCAACATCTTTCACACACCAATTACAGTCAGTTTTATTGGGGATGAAACTGATACATCGGACACAGTATTTTTAAAGCCTAAACAAAGGATCCCCCTGGAAATAAAGCATTATGGCGATTTTCTTGTGCTATCCTCGGTAGACTCAACTTACTGTTTACCGTTCTCTGTACTGTCTATGTACTTGTGAATCAGTGTGAAATTCTACGAAGATTTTACTGAATAACTAACTAACGGACAAGCTGGAAAGTGATAGTGATAAGGGAGAATTGATAAATTATCCTGACTGGTTTCTTGTTTCATCGATGGTCAATACAAAAATCATTCTGTCACACACGCTACGTTACTTCAGTTATACTCGCCATACTGTCATACACGCTACGCCAACTCAATCATATTTATCATACAATGAGCCAAACATGGAATCTTATTTTATACACACTGCTTCACTGATGACATACTTACATACGTGAAGAGAAAAAAGCTCAGTTGTATAATGCTCGCAGTGAAATAAAACAAACACAAGTGGCAGACTAGAGTTCAATACGTACTCACACAAGAGTACAATGCTCTCTCTCTCTCTCTCTCTCTCTCTCTCTCTCTCTCTCTGTGCCGTTGCTAGCTAGAAGGAATACGTGTTGAAATGCATTTGTTCTGTGAGCGATTGGACTTTATGGACGAAGTGAATATACAGTGAAACTCGAAACCTCCGGATCAATTACTAGCCAGGGGATAGGAAGGTACAGTGTGTGTGTGTGTGTGTGTGTGTGTGCCAAGGGAGGTGGTCGTCCAAGGTATAAAAAGATCACATAAAAACTCAGGCTAGGAGCAATTCTCTAGTTTTACTGTCTCTCAACCTCTGTTGGAAACTCAACGGGAATTCTCTAACACGTGTAAATAGTTCAGTAAAACACACAGATTGATCAGATTCCGGTTTCCTTTACAACTTTTTTTTTTTGGCGTAGACAGGAGGATAAAATCTTTTGTCGTATAAACTTTACCGAAAGAAAATTTAGTCACGAGATATTCTTTTATTTATAGTATGTAATGAATGATACAAAAATAGGTTGATCTAGTGTCCGTAAATTCTGTTTTATATAGTAGTATGCTTGTAACGAATGGTACAGAAAATACAATTAAGTATAGATTTTGTTTCAGAGTTATGTGAGAAAATAATTTATCTACGTGTGAAAACAACTACACATTAACGATGGGAATATTTAGTTTATGTAAACGAAATGCCAACAATGGTTGATTAGTGTTCAATGTAAACTTAGAAGCAGAGAAGAGGGATGGGGAGGAGGGAGGGGTGTGTAGGGAGGGGGTGAGGGAGGTAGGGATGGAAAGGAGGGTACTGAGGGAGGCATGGGTGGTGAGGAAGGTAGGGTGATGTGGGAGGTATAGGGAGGGAGTGGGGGTGTGAAGAAGGTAGGGATGGAGAGGAGGGTGGTGAGGAAGGGAGGTGAGGGACACGCTGACCCAGGTGACCTCGTCAGCTTCAATAAGGATGGAGTGTCACCTATATGAGAACAGTGACAGCTGAGGCCACAAGACCGAAATACGAGGATACTCTCTCTCTCTCTCTCTCTCTCTCTCTCTCTCTCTCTCTCTCTCTCTCTCTCTCTGTTGTGTGATTACCGTGAAGATTTTTTTGGGGGGGTGAGGTGAGGTTAGATTAGGTTAGGCTAGGTTGGTTGGTTGAGTTTAGGTTAAGGAGGTGGTGGATGAGTGGTCTAAATACTGATTAGTGTCTTGTCGACTTTTCTTGCTTAGTTCAATATTTATCAAATTCTCTCCATACTAAAAGGTAACACGATACACCTGAGGTAAACAAAGGTAATTAATAACATATCGTTGTGGTGTATTAATCAAAGCGGCAGAATACGAGAAAGATACATAGTAACTTCCAGAAATGGTTCATATTATTCTTTGTACGTGTGTGTGTGTGTGTGTGTGGTCGTCACCGGATATGACCAATCCTGATTTTGACCCAGCTAGTAGGGGTCACTGTGAGGCCACGACCCAATTAGACTTTGGAGGAATGTTGGAATGTGAGAAATAAGGTAAGGAGGAGGAGGAGAAAGAGTAGAGAAGGGGGAGGGAGAAGGTTAGGTTAGGTTAGCAATATTGAAGCTGCTGCAACTTTTTTATTCAACATTTACCAAGAAAGAAAGAAGGAAAGAAATAAAGAAAGAATAGCAGTTTTTATTTAAGATATGGGAAGGCCAATGAAAATTCCAATATGCTTTTCAATATTTGAGGGAAGAATCACAGTAAAGAGTCACAGGAAAGTCTTAAGTTTTGCTATAGGGCTTAAGTAATATTTTCATAAACAGTCGGAATAAAGTTAGGTTAGGTTAGGTTTTCCAATGACTTTTCCCTGTAACTTTTGCAATATAATTTCTTCCTATGACTTTTTCCTATGACTTTTATCCTGCATTTTTTCCAGTGACTTTTGGTGCGATTTTTCATGAGATTTTTTTTTTCCTTTGACTTTCTCCTACAATCGTATTTATAGTCACCAAGACCACGAGAGTACAAGCACACGTTGCAACAGCCATCATTCTAAAAGTTGCAAGATATCACTACCATGGACCACAAGTCATTATAGGTGGTCGTGAGGCGTGAGTGTGAAAAGGAGGTGAATCCATCAACAATACTCACTGTTTGACTCTGTATGGGGTTTTGGTTAGGTTAGGTTGGGTTAGGTTAGGGTTAGGGCTAAGTTAGTATTAGTGATAGGTTAGGTTAGTGTTAGGGTACGTTAGGTTAGGATAGGTTAAATAAGTGTTAGGTTAGATTAGGTTAGGTTAGGTTTGGTTAAGTTAGGCTTACTGTAGGTATCAAAACATACATGAAATTATCTACAGTTGCAAGTTGACGTATTGGTGATTGCAGAGATTAACTCTTTGAGGATGATAATTTAATTGAACCTTTTGAGTACGATAGTTTAAACCATCTCCCCAAAAAGTTAAACCATCGTCCTTAAAAACGTTAAATCATCGTTCTCAAAGGATTTAAATCATCAACAAAAGGTATAAAACAAATCCTCAAAAAAGGTTAGATTCTCTTCATCAATAGGGTTAAATACTTAAGACCATAAGAACATAAGAAAATAAGGAGTCTGCAATAGGCTGGTTGGCCTGTGCATGGCAGCTCCTGTCGAGAGTTACTACCACTCTCTATCATCCATGAATCTATCCAGTCTCCTTTTGAAACTTTCCAGCGTTCCAGCACTTACTACATAGTTGCTAAGCTTGTTCCACTCGTCCATCACCCTATTTGTGAACCAGTTCCTTCCTATCTCCCTCCTATGTCTCCAGTCTATATAACAGTTGAATGTGTTTTACTATGTCCAGTTACGAGAGAGAGAGAGAGTGTTGCAGGTGGTGAGTGGGGAGGTTGAGAGAAAATAATGAGTAGTGTGTTGCGGGCGATTCCTGCGGTCACCTCTCATGGCGGCCACCCCCTCCTCCTTCCTCCGCCGTGATTTCTGTATCATATTCCGTTGATCACGAGCATTACTTGGATGTGGTGATAATATATGTAGACTATAATATACACTGGTTGTACTGTATAAGGTTGTGGTGAGGGAGGGAGGGAGGGAGGAGAGAGTGTGTGGGTCGTGGCAGCAGGTTACCCCGGGGGCGACGACTCACGTGTCGGACGGGCGTTTGACGACGCCAGTTTCCTCCACCTTACGTTCACACTTTTATGTGTGCACGAACACGTACTGTGACTGGACATCTCTTCCTTACCCTCAAATGACGTGTTTATAATAAAAGAAAATTACGCAATTGTCATCTTAGACATACAGA